ATTGCTTGTCTTCTATCAATCAATACGGTTCGACGTAATCCCGGGGGGAATTAAGAAGAACGACATAGTACCGGGATTAGAAAAACAAGGCAATAAATCAAAGCTTGCGGTGAATACATCTATCACAGGTGAGTTCCATCCGTCAGTGCGAGCGCTAATCACCAGACAGACGAACATACATCATGATAGAATCGCTTTGAACGTCGTTAGCTTCTGATTGGTCGATAACGGACTGTTATTATATTTGAAAAAGTTAGATAATATTTTCAAGTCTCACATATCAACTAATACGTATTAGAGTCTAAACTCCAATTATACAATACTAGCTGAGTCACCGACTTCGTCCGCGTAGAAAAGTTATTTAATTTTTTTTAGAAATTTAGTCTGTTACCCATAACATCGTCCGAGTCCCATCGTTCTTGGAAGTTAATCTTATAAGTTGAATAATTTTCCCCGACTTTTCTACATTTTCCGCTGTTTCTTCGCTCCTAATTAGCTACAGCGCGATCTTTTATGGCCTTCCTCAATAAACATTCTAACCAACACACAAATATTTTTTTCAATTTGAACAAGTACTTCCCGAGATTTGCGTGTTCAAACAAACAAACTCTTCAAAAATCTAATCATGATCAATCTTTTTATATTATTACACATTTAAATAAAACACTTTAAGGTTTAAAAGCATATATTAGTTAAATTATTTGAAAATGATTTTTAATTTGGCCCATTTCGGATGTTCCTCTACACGACTTGCAAAATCAAAGTCGGGCCAAGATAAAAATCATTTTTCAAATAAGTTTAACTAATATATCGCGTTTTAAAGTTAATGTGTTTTATTTAAAATGATATTTTTAACATTAACTTGCAATAACGACGGGACGCGACGGACGTTGTGAGCAAAAGTTATGTCTATAAAAATAAAGAGAAGCTTTCCAACAAATTGATTCTAGACGGACGAAGTCGCTGACATAGCTAGTACGTATAAACTACTCGGCTTAACAAACTCTGTATGTAGATAGACGAATCCCACACTATACCGCGCGGGTTATTATATATACGTCCAGTGGGTGCAAAAGTGGCGTTTTATCCGGGTTTACGTGGTAATCCGGTAATTGTGGCGTATCCCAGCATTAGCAAAGAAAGGTGCCGGTTCCCTTTGTGCGTATTTACCCAACGTATTAATTATTCTGACGCACAGATGAAAAGTAAAATCACTTTTCATTTTCATGTAAGTAACCCGGTTGCTTTGATATTGTTTTGTTTGAGGCGGGAGGTACCTATTTAGGACTTGCTGTTTTAGACATGTATTTAGAATGAAAAGGTTTTTAGATTTGAAGCACTGAAAAAGTATAAAAAAGATATATTTAAGAATTACGTTAGGAAAGGTGGAAAGTAAATAATCAAAACAAAAAAATTATAAAAATAACAAATTTTCGCATAGTAATTTAAATAAAACACTTTAACGGTTTAAAACGCGATAAGGTTTATATCGCGTTTTAAACCGTTAAAGTGTTTTATTTAAATGTGTACTACTCGCGTAAACTATAGACAGTATTTCGCATAATAATATTTTTTGAAATGCGATCAAGCATATTGTTTTGTGTTTCGTTGTTAAAAATTAACTAAGATGCATTGTGTTTGTGTAAAATCCCGTGGCCCCTCGCGGGGCATGGGGCGAACACATTTTTGTGTCTGTTTCACGGATCTATTTTTATTTACAGGCAAGTAGTTGATAAGACTTCTGTGCTTTGCCCGACCGATCTTGATTATAAATCGTCGAAGAATCTATTTTTTATTTAAATACAGAGGGTCCTACTGAGATGCATTATAGCTAATGAATGATGAAATACGCATTCTGAACTGTTCATTTTTAATGAAACTAAGAATTTTACTTTTTATACTAAGTGAAGTTTTATATATTTATGTAGGGCATAGTAGATGGAGTTTGATGTGGTAAGTTTAAGATATAGCTTCTGTGCCCTGTCCGACTGCAAATATAATTATTTCTTCGGACTTCGGACCCAGGATTTTCCCCGCTAAACGTTTCTTTAAATTCGTGACTGTAAATAAATTGTTGAATTATAAAAAGAAAAAAGTTATAGTAAACAGTTTGTAGTTTGCGATGGGTAAATTTAACCTTTTTCCCCCCCCCTTTTTTTTGGTTTGGGGGGGTCCCCCCCCCCCCCCCCTTTTTTCCCCTTTTTTTTTTCTTCTTAAATATTATTTCTCAATTGGGTCCTGACCATTAATTGGAACAATTATAATGATAATAATTATTTGAGAATCAATAATTAACCAACGAACAGAATTTTCCCTTTAAATATACCTTCTTCTATTGACGATACCAAAACCTCCCCCAGCCGAAAATTTTTGTAAAAAAACCCCCCTTTTTTTTATTTTCTTATATGGGGGGTGATAAAAAACATAAATTAGTTAAACGCGATTATGATAGTAAAATTATTTTAACCACAGCCCGACGTTCCTCCCCGACGAGGCTCTCAGTTACCATGCAACCCTTGATCCGTGACCCTACTGCAAAGCATCCGAAATGCCGGGTCATAATTAAAATAATTTTCAAATAAGTCTAACTAATATATATCGCGTTTTAAACCGTTAAAGTGTTTTATACAAAAGTAATGTTAATAACTAAGTGCGGTTTTGTAATGCATTTCTTGTACAATATATTACAATTGTAAAGTCTAAATAACGTCTGCTCTAATTGTGAGAAAGAGTTGATACCTACTTCCCTTTATTACCTTCTCTGCACTGGGTAACTCTGATTTGTGTTCTCCCGAGAGTTAGAATAAATAAAAATTGAACAACATACAATATTCAATATTCTAAGCGATATGAATTAATGATATTTGAGTGTTATTTTACACATGTTAAGTGCATGTGAATACATATGTAATAATTTTACATTATTTAAAATAAAACAACCCCATGCCATGTATGTACTCCTCTATCATTAAAAAAACACTCTTTAATGGTTTAAAACAGTTCGTTTATCTAACAAATTTAGCAATTGTGTAGTTTTGTTTTGATATCTGAAGATGGTATATTATATAAACTTTTTGTTCTTTTATCTTATGTTGTCTGGAAGAGACAGCTCGTTAACGATAAGGCACATTGCACTCCATATTTTTATAAGTCTTATTTAAATTTTTTTCTTTGTGCAATAAATTGTTAATAAATAATGAATATTATTGTTTCGAGTTTTTTTTTGTAATTTCCGAAGTTGAAAATAGAAAATATCGTCTATTTATTGACACGAGTTATCAATTCGATAACACATTCAGAATACATAATCATTAAAATCGTGCTCAACAGGGAATTGAAGTGTAAAGTTTTAATGAAGTGAGTGGTTGATTAAATAACACTCAATTAATGATTAATGACGATTGGCTTTATACCAAGGCAGAAAACCGATTTTCGCATACAAAGTCGGAAAATATTGCACACGTTTTGTACTTATTTCGCTCGAAACATTAAATTGTTAACATGTTATCTACACTAGTATTATAGGCTACTGAATTTGAATTTAAAAAATATTTGTGTTGGTTAGGCTATTAATTGAGGAAAGTTTTGTGTTATAAAATATCGTGCTGAGAGTGAAGAAACAGCGGGAAATATTTGAGGGTTCTCGTTGCGTGCTCTGCACAAACGGTTCCAGTAACCAAGAAAACGTGTATGAAAAAATGGTTGCCCTTTGATTGATATATTTTTGTTTTGGATATTTTGAAATCGTTACGACTTTTCCATCGATGATTGGATCCGGAGGAAATTCGATATTTTTTACCACGTACTAAACGAAGGCCAATATATTTCAGACCAACATTTTTAAAATTACAGATAGTTTCGGGGGATCGAACCCGCCACTCCTTGAATATATCTATATGCCGACCGCACCGTTCAGGGTAGTTATTCCAGTGTAAATAAAAATCTATTATTACTTCACTTTTTCTATTTACACATATGAAGAGTCATTCTTTTGGAGATCAATGTTCCGTCTTATCTTTTCCAAACCCCTTCATACTTTCATGCCCATTCAGTCACTCCGGTTTACCCCTCCCTATCTCTTCACTTTTGTTTTCAACCACTAAGTTCATCTCTTTTCTCAATTAAAAAATAATTTACCTTTCAGATCTTTTTTTTTTAAAATTTTCCTTTATAACAATTATGGATTTATTTTTTTTTTTTTTTTACTCCTCCCTTCATTGTGTTCTTCCTCCCAGTCTCTGTACCTCTGGTTCACATCCCTTCTCTTTCATCCAATAGACAGTTATTAGTCTGTTATTCAAGTCTAATGGGCATATTTGTTTTCTCTTTGAATTTAAACCTTTAGTACGTAAGTACTTTCAATCCTCTTTACTCTGAAGGGCCTTTATACTTGGGATCTAACTGTTGATTTCTTTCCTCATTTTTTACAAATTCGCCTAAGAACTTATTGACCCTTAGTTTTCAAATGTTTTTACTCTCTTTTTTTTTCTCCCTTATCACTCGGCGTTGAGATCACTTCGCTCTATTACTGCTCAATTCGGTACTCCATGAACTCAAGGACTTGATCCTTACCTTTTGTTGCTAGTTCATCGCAAAGCTTCCTGCCACGACCGTTTACTAGTTCGCGGCAGAAGCATGGCTTTTAAAGTGCTCATTGTACGTTCGACCTGCCCGTTTGCCCGAGAACTCCCTGTTGCAATTAGGTGTAGTTTAATGTTTGCAGAATCGCAATACTCCAAAATCTTTCAGAACTCCCTATCCGATCGTTGGGCACCAAACAAGGATCTCCAACCGCTTTTATACTACTACGCATCGATTAAGTGGTGGAGTAAATTAGTAATCGATAAAAAATATCCTATTGTACTTTTCCCACTAAGCTTTCCATTCCATATTAAGTATGCCAAGGGATCGCTACCGGATGGGATGACCGGCTGGATTTTGCCAAGTGTGACTTTGAAATTTTGCATTGATGCAATTGTCAACAATTCTCACATATTTGGTCATTTATCAACCAATAAAGCTCGTAAACTTTCTCTAAGGTCTTTTCCCTCCCAAATCATCAACCCCTCCAATACTGACCACTCAAGGCGGGGTAGATGGGTAAGGGATTCCCTTACGCTGTATTTTACGATACCGCCGGCCACTCGTAAGTCTTTGCAATTCATCAGGAACTTCTTATCTTTAAGGTCACTCACCAACTTGCCAATTTCTTCGTCACGCTGTTGTTCTCTAAACATTCTAGTCAGCTCAGTAATATTAATTTGCTTTGATTGTACCTGTCGCTATGCGTATGCGCTTCTTTAACTGGAAGAGGGTTTCGTGAAAAGAAGTCCCATTCCATACCTACCATCGACGTGTACCACATCAAATCAAATCCCTGAGAAATGCCCACCATCTGTGGACCCGAGGCGTCAAATCCAGCTTTTTGCGAGTTGACTGAAGGGAGTTGCAGTCGGTTATGACAGTAAACTACGCCATGTAGATAATGGCAATGCTTAACCGTTTACAACACTAAGTCTCCAATTCGTATGATGATATTTAGACTCCGACTTATACGCTTACTAAAATAAGCAACTCATAGCTTACCTCCTTTTCTCTCTAGCACCGCGCCGTATCCAACCGCACTTCATCTGTATAACTCAGTCGGTAGATCTGGATCATAGATCATAAGAACCGGCTCTCGAGTTAGTTTGGAGATTATTTTTGTCTTACTGTCTCATGCTCCGACCTCCAATTTAACTTACAATTAGAGCTTGCGGTCAATCTACAATGTGCCATTGTCTGTGAGAATCCGCCAAAATTGTCGAAAATAGGAGGCCAACCCAATAAATTGACAAGCTGTGTTACTGTCTCTTGTGCAGGCCGTAAGAGCTTCAATCTTACGCGGGTTTGGACGAATCTCCCCCTGACTACCTCGAAGCCAAGGTTTCAACTTTTTGTTTTAAGAAGACACATTTTTTAATGTTTAAAGAAAACCCTTGGTCTGTATGAACTTTAAGTACGACTATTAAACGCTCAAGGGCTTCCTGTACCGTACTCGCTACTATAAGAACATCGTCCTTAAACCACCACGTACGTGTTAACTAGGTCGCCAAGTCGAGGTCGAGGTCCTTGCTCCTCTGCTTCGGGCAGCTGGATGCATAGTGTCCTTGTCCATGACAAGAGTAACAAGTAATGGGGAGTTGTTCCGCAGCAGACTTCTTACGGTTGTTGAAGTAAGTTTGGCTTCTGTCTTTGTCTCCATTTGTCTTCAAATTTCTCTTCGAGAAACACTGAGTTGACTTATGGCCTAGTTTCCCACAGTGAAAGCACTTTATGCTCGTGTGGTTTGTAGCTGGGCGAATTTTCTTAAAGTCTGTGGCGTCACTGCTGAGTGGGGCTTTTCTCTTTAGAAACGACACGGCTTAAGCTCTTGTTGTAGTCGTTTTCTTTATCGTTCAGTGGTAAAGGACATCCTATCGAGGCTCAATTGTGAAATTGGCCAAAACTGTAGCTACCGATCTGTTCTGTCGTCAAGCCTTCCACCTTGATAATAGAAGTCATCATGGCTGCACCATATGTAGCAAGATTCATTTTCTTTTGGTCTGCTTCCTGCCATATTTATAAGGTAAGAGGCCACAGTCTCAGGGCATCTACCTTGCAGTGAAAAGCTCCTTAAAATTTTCCCAGTATCCCTGAACATGGCCACGTCGATGTCCCCTTTCATTGCACATTACCAATATTAATGGGGCTCCGTTTGATAACCATCAGTAATGCAAGTGTCCGCTGTTATAATCCAACACGTCGTCCACATCACGTCGGTCTGGATCAAAATCAGGAAGGTGGAGGTCGTTCGGCGTTCGCGACTGCTTCACGGCCTCTATAGCAAAAAGTTTCTTTTTGCTGCTCCAATAACAACAATAACTTTTCGTCACTCTCACATTTATTTGCACACGTGGGGCGTTTTGGCTACATCCGCTTCTGATGTCGGAGCAGGACACTGACGTATCCGTCTCCGTCTTGATTGGGTGATGCAGGGTTCATTTCGCAGTGTAGAATAAAAATGTCCACTTCACTTATTCGTAATGATTACAACTCCGATTGAACCAAAGAAGAGGTAAACCGAAGTTCCGGGAGATGCGAACTGTTCCGCGCCCAAGTTCGAATGCCTTTTGCAAAACCCCCTCTCCAATACGACTCTTCCACCCCCATACAGTAACAACATACGTGTTCACCCCTCCCTCAGTACTACAATAGTCAAAACAACTTAATATTTAGCACATCGTTTTGCGACATATATATTGCTACCATTAAACCAACGAGTCCGTCAGTGTAGAATACTCAGATAATTAACTGAGAGAGGTTGTAATGAGTTGTTCAATTTTCCGGCCGTTACAACCAGACGAGACTCGCTTCGAAGCCTGTCAGTACCAACTGACGTGACAAGCATGTCACGTGGGGAAAGAAAACATTCCCTCTCACTTAACAATTGCGCTTCTTTGTAGATAATTGAGAGGGTGTGGTTAACCACCCTACAGAGAGTACCACACTTAAGAGTTTTATGACTGGAATTATTTAAAACACATTTACTACAAGCTGTGCCCGCGATTTCGTCCGCATGGAATAGTTATTTTGTACATCAGAATTTATTTTAAATACTGTCTATAGTTTACGCGAGTAGTACACATTTAAATAAAACACTTTAACGGTTTAAATGATATATCGCGTTTTAAACCGTTAAAGTGTTTTATTTAAAATTTTATTTTTGCAAACCTCTTCTTCTTTTAAATAAAACACTTTAACGGTTTAAAACGCGATATATTAGTTAAACTGATTTGAAAATGATTTTTAACTTGTGTCTCCCCGTGACCACGGCTGCTGCAAAGCATCCGAAACGTCGGGCCGAAGTTAAAAATCATTTTCAAATCAGTTTAACTAATACATCGCGTTTTAATCCGTTAAAGTGTTTTATTTAAATGTGTACTACTCGCGTAAACTGTAGACACTCTTCATTTTTTTTAAACAATAGCTGTTACCCACAACGTCAGCGTTCAGTCTTTCGTTCGAGTTAATCTTAAGCGATATTTACGTTTTAGATTATCAAAGAGGAATCATTCCTTTATATTATATATTTTTTGGTTTCGTGAACCGTTTTCGTAGCTCACGCACCGAAACCCTACAGAGATGAATCGTGTCTCCGTTTTTTTTTTCATATTTTTACTGTTTCTTCTATTGGTGGAAACGTGATGTTGTGTAGCCTTACTAGATAAATGATCTATCCAACACATGTCTTTTTATTGAGATTAGAGCATTTGAATTATCAAACTGTTCAGCATCACTTCTTTACATGTTATAAAGTAAATATTAAAATTCAAACGTTTTATGTAATTCAAAATTAATGTTTAATCAATGTTTTTATTTGTTTCAGGTATGAACTGCACAATTTACTGAAATCGATAAACAAAATATAGAAATACAGATAAGTACTTATTTATTATTGCTTTATTATTTATAAAACACACCACAGAAAATACATATAAATGAAGAAAAATCTTACACGCTAACTTATAAATAAAAGGCGGCCTTATCGCTAAGTAGCGATCTCTTCCAGGCAACCTGAAGTACAGGAGAAAAGAAATAGAAAATAATTTATTTATTGGGTAGGTGTAAGGTATAACAAAGAATATTAAAGGTACATAGTGACCTAAATAATAGTTAGTCATAGTTAAACTTAAATCATAGTTATTATTTAAATAAAACACTATAACGGTTTAAAACGCGATATATTAGTTAAACTTATTTAAAAATGTTTTTCAACTTCGGCCCGACATTTCGGATGCTTTGCAGCAGCCGTGGTCACGAAACGTCGGGCCGAAGTTAAAAATCATTTTCAAATAAGTTTAACTAATATATCGCGTTTTAAACCGTTAAAGTGTTTTATTTAAATGTGTACATCGTAAAAGACAGTATTATAGTTATTATAAAACAGTTAATAAATTAACAATGTTCTTACTTATATTCATTTATTTAACATATATATTACCATGTCTGTGGTTTAAATAAAGAGTTTTGTTAATAAATTACGTAAACATTGACTACCCGCATATAATTATATAGAAACACAATTGGGCCTCAAAACTTATTAAAATATTCACTTACTATATTGATTTTCTACAGGGTTACAGGTTAAGTCAACCCTGATCCTTTAAAGGGTGTATTTGTGTATAAAAGACCCTGTCCCAAAGTTAAGCATTTTTAAATTATGCCACATTTATAGACTTTTTAGAAAAAAAACAGATGTTTTGTTTATTATTTATGTTTCCGGCATGTCTTATTATGCATTATTCCCATCACTAAAATAGTAGATATTGGAATCAACTTGGCTGTAGAAGGCAATTGAAATTAAAAAAAAAAGGAAATTAGTTATTAATATATTTTTTTAAATATTTATTAAAAAAATTTTGGGGGGTTCTTCTTTTTTCCCCCTTCCCCCCCCCCCCCCCCTTCCCCCCCCGCCCCCCCCGATTTTTTTTTTTTTTTTCCCTGGGGGGGGGGGGGGGGGGAACCCCCCCCCGGGGGGGGGGGGGGACCCCCCCCCCCCCCCCCCCCCCCCCCCAAAAAAACCCCCCCCCCCCTTTTTTTTTCCCCCCCCCCGTGTAAAAAAATCAAAGCATTGCTAGCGCCATCTGTTTCTTTGTATTAAATATTTGTAGAAACCAGCTAGCGTCTTTAAAGGCCTGAATTACGTAACATTGTATTCCTCTTTGAAACAGCGCCCAGCAGTGGGAAATTAAGTAATTACCATATTGTGAGCAACAGCTACAATAAAATTAAAAGCGTCCTTTCGCGTGTCGCCGCGAGTCGTCAACAAGACATTTCGTTATTACGACTTTACATTATCCAAATGTTTAATAATATATTAGTTCGTAAAAATTGCTGTCTTAATTTGGCAACTTGGAACTCCGAGCTATTCGACCGTCGTAATTGAGAAATGGTTTTCGACGATTCTTCATTACACGTGTACGGCTTCTTTAGGCGATGTGAGGCGAGTTGAAGATCGCTACTGTTTAAACCCAAATAGCATCGTAATTAAGTTTACGAGTTTCCTGTTTAAAACCGTTAATCGTTGTCAAATCACTGTAATTAGAAGTTATTATCCTTTCAAATTTTCTTTTAAAAGATATAGTATTTTAGGTTATTTAAGAACAAACAAAACATCCAAAAATACGATTTGTAGCGAAACAGGACAGTATATCAT